TTAATTTAGAAATCAAACTTGATAGTTGGAATATTTTGCTTAGAACGTGTAGTGTGTGAAAAAGTCAAATTAAAAACACGTCTGTAGCAAGTAGAACACCTCTGGTCTCAATAAATTCATTAGGAATTGAACATTTTCGCATGTTCATTCGCACGTCATATAATATGGTTATTTATCAGTCCGTATATTTGTAAAGATCAACTTCAGAAAAATAGTGAATTATGAGTATTTTGATTTTGAATTAGATTTTACAGAAAAGTAAAAAAAATACTGGATGTGCCGTAAAACACGTGTTATACGTAATCATTCTGAATCTTGAAGCATAGTCTTGACTTCGCAATAGTCGACTTTAAAGCTCCTTTTGCAGAAATTTCGAAAGCGCCTGCTCCCCCCCACTTAGCCACCGTTTTCTTAAGATATTTGCTGATAATATACTTTACTATATATTAAAACCTTGAAATTTTATTGAATACTTCAAAACTATTACATATGATATGCGATTTATTTCATTGCGAGCGTCTGCGGCGCGAGGTAACTGTGATAAGATATGACGAGCTAATATTATGTGTACGGTGAATAGATACTTATTGTAAGTATTTATTATGAAGTCTCTTATCAATCCTTTTATTGGTAGCTTTGTATACTTTAGATAAACTTAGTAATGTCATTACACGTGAAGCTGTATCATTAAGGAGCAAAAGAGAAATTTATAATTTAAAGGGGAAACAAAATTCGATTCCCACTTGAGTGATTATTGTTATTTTTTTTACAATTTATATATATATTATATCTCTTGCTAGTTAATTTCAATAGTGTACTGGTATTTGTTTGGAAAGTGGTCAGCGGTCAGTGAAAGCATCTCGCAACACACGTCGGACATGAGTTGCATAAGTTTATGCAACCGCGTTCAAACCTTCACCAATTATTAAAATGTATATAAAATATAAATATATTCGTCGATTATGTGTAGAATTTATAAAAAATAAAACAATATTGTAAATTATGAACAATATGTGTATAAAAATAATAATAGTCTCAATATTTTTAGAACTACAATAAAAAAAGTAACAAAATTAAAGCATTTATTTATGTATATAGGAAATCTAAAACAAACCTATCCCACGGAACCGTACATTTTTCTGGAATAAAAAGTAGCCTATGCACTATTCCAGACCGTAATCTATCTCTGTACCAAATTTCATCCAGATCCGTTTTGGCGTGATTGAGTGACAAGCATTCATCCAAACATCCAAGCATCTAAACTTTCACATTTATGATATTAGTAAGATATATTTGACAAATAAAACAAATGAAACGAAAATCAATGCCACTCAAACATCTTCAAATTATATTAAATAATACATTTATGACCATCGAGGATTTACATAGATTGTAGTTACAGGTACATGAAGATATCTACTACTACTACGAAGATATCTACATACTTTGTTGCAACTTGCAAGACAAAATATTTTATAGATACTAGGTAATGAAGGCGGTTTTACTTCCGTGTTCTATTTAGACTTTAATCTCTAATAATTATGACTCTCCCGTAAATGCGAAGCCTCAACGATATATTAGTAATGTCTGTATTCGTAATGTATACTACATATATGTACTAACATTAAATAAGGTTTTTTTTTTTAAATTACTACAATTTTATGCTGACTTTTGCTTTAAACATACAACCCTGTAAAGATAGGATCGATGAACAGTGGTTCAGTTTAGTAATGGAATTCTGTTTTACCGAAAGAATTACTATCTTAGATAATCTACTATCTACTACGTTTAAGAAGAGTCGGGCTTTATCCTGATTCATGATTGTTACTTCACCCTCTGCTATATTTGAGCAAATAATGCGTGTGCACTTTATATGTAGCATTCTTACTTTTAGCATCAGACCAATCACCCAAACTAATTTTAAGTACCTATTAGATTATTCTAACATTTACATATAGTTGTCTAAATGTTAAGGTACCAATTCTTAAAAATAATGAACAACATTGGATTATAATTTAAAAAAAAGAGACTGCACTATATTATAACAAACTAATATCAGTAAAACAGATAACGAAACTCCTTTGATCTTTTATCAACCGACTTCAAAAAGGAGGAGGTTCTCAATTCGACTGTATTTTTTTCATTTACTTTCTATATAATAAGATTTGTTATATTATATTCTAAGTATTTATAAATACAATACATGAAAGAATATTGCTAATCTGCTTAGATCGAAGGCCGTGTGCGAAAGTCTCACTGGTCGCACTTGCCCGGCTGTCGGGGGTTACAGCAGGTGCTCCACTTCGCGCGGTCACAGTGTCAAGGTTGGCTTACATTTACACCGACATGTCGATTTTACAATCTACTTAGTACCCTGTTGAAAAATTCCAATAAAATCACACCAAAAGCGACAAAAGCCACATAGGAACCAATAAATATTTATTGGTTTCTATGTGGCTTTTGTTGCTTTTGATGGGATCCTATTGGAGTTTCTAAATAGGGTACTTACATACAGTACACACATATTTACTGTGTTCACAACTTTATGCTGCTATGATGTGGCATGTGCTGCATTACACAGAACTTATTGTGTAATTTTAATGAAAGAGAAAAAAAATGCTTGCACGTCTATTTATATTACAATATTTTTACCTCGTGGCTAGATTGTGCGGTGAATTATGTTAAGGATTCGTATTCCGGGTAGGGCCAAGAACTACTTCTAAATTTGTCTGACACTAAATACACAGTAATAGCTTTTTGCCATCCTCGTGCCTCATAGCCACAGTCTCCAATTATGTAAGAAATAGGAATTCATACCTTCAGAATATGAAACTATAGTTTATATGGTTAAGTATAGTTCATAAAACGAAAGCTTTTATAAAATCAACCAGGAGGTGAACTGTTTAAAAATGTTTGATGCTAATTAAAATTAAACAAAGCTGATATTACATTGTTTTCTCTATTATACTAGGTTTTATTGTATTACAATTAGATGGAAGAGGGCGCTGATTTCTGGCATACAGGTTTAATCCAGTTTGGAAGACAGAGGCTTCAACAGGCTTATGTAACAACATACAATTGTGTCAAAAAGATATATTCTATTCTATTCTACAATAGTTAATGATAGTAATTTATACTCAATAATAAATCAGATCCAGATTTCGCCATCTGTTTTAATAGCCGTCTGGAGGCAGGTGCGTTGCGGCGGCGCAGGGTCAAGGCTGGGTTACATTTGCACCGTTTATGGAGAGCGATAGAGCTCGAAATGGGGCAGTAATTATGTTGTGAAGCGCCCAAGAGACATATATTTCAGTGTAATCTTAATGTCTAATTTATGTTAATGAATTGCTTAATTTTCTTTTATTTAATTACTTACATATTTTTATGATTATTTATTAACATGTTTTCTTCATTTTACATGGAATTCTTCAATGTCAAAGGAACAAAGAGGAATTGCCAATACGTATTCTCTTTTTAAAATTAAATGTTTTTTTTTTGTAATCGGTAAAAAAAAGTTTTATTACAATAGTTTTCTTATCACATATGTATGTATATAGGTTTATGTACGCTGTACACATTAGTGTAGAAATATCTTCGGTGTGCACTGAGCAGTACGTCGGACGCGGGAGGGAAGCGCGACGTGACGCTGACGACCTGTTTGAACACAAGGTAACTGCATCTCGGCTAAATTTGTTTTGTACCTGATTTATGCGACTAGTATTGATCGACATTGTTACTTGCACATGTTACTAGTTGGTTTTATTTATTTTATTAGACACCAGTTACTGCTAGCAACTGCGGCAACTGCTATATATGTGTATGGATTACATATTGAACAAATGGTTATATGATATTTAAATTCAAGAGAAAAACGAACTTTTCCATGTTCATTAACATTCATACATGAAACAAATAAAAATTGATGAACACAATTATTATACTATAAGTAAATCATAGAAAATTAATTTTAAATGCACAACTTTGTCTAACAGGCCGCTCGTAGGCCGGCTCTACCCGGTGCCGGTACACCGCACCTTGCAGCGACATGCGACAGGATGCGAACCAGTTATCTGTCAGTGTATAGTAAAGGAAGTTGTACACTTAACATGATAAACGCTTTAATGTTTATAGTTATTTTACGTCATTTATTTATGGTGTATTTACATTTCTATATTTGTACATAATTTCATATCTATATAAATATAAGCACAGTGCACACTAGATGCTCTTCGCTTTTATAATATTACGGAAGTTCTCAGAAGGAAGGATTTTTCCAGCTTGATACACAAATTTCATCATTTTGGTAATTTATTTTCGTCAAATGTTAATAAATCATAGCCTTCCTATATTGGTGAAAACTGTATGAAAATTTGGACAAGAGCTTCTGTGAGATTAGCCCAAGCAAACTTACCGCTGCGGTAAAGTTTAATTTTTAATATCGTATTCGTGTGTCTTTATAATAGATTACAAAAAATAAATAAGTTTTACACTCTTTAGCAATTATACCAGATACAGGATAAAGATGTGCTAGGTATTGTAGATCTTTTATTATTTAACAATGATAGTGTAATATGTACGTACAGTTTTTTTATGTTACTTTAAAAACAAACCAGTCATAAAATTATATCAGTAATCGAAAAATAGCTTTTGGATAAGGAAATGTCATTAGAATTCCGTTACACCGTGACATTATGCATTCGATATCAGCGCCGCGTGCGAGGCACGAAGCGCCGCGCACGAGATTCATCATATGTTGTTGACATAAATAACGTAAACAAATAATTTAGAACGAAAAAACTTGTTGTCACCAAGTTTACACAAATATTTTACTGTTCATGATTCTATGATAATAGATTGTAGTCACGTTTAGTGATTAATATGGTTTGAGGTTTTGTTTACAAACAATGAAAGTAGAGTGTTTATGAAGTGTAATATTTCGATGTTACCATAAATTTGACGATCTTTTTTGTAATATTATATGAAAAATGAACGTACCTTTACCATTTAGCTGCGTCCTCAGCCTCGTAATCTCCCGGGATCGGCTCCTGCTGCGACGGTGTGCTGCGATCCTCCTCGGAGACCGCGCCATAGCTCGCACTCCTCACATCACCACAAATACACCATTACCGAGTGCACTAAATATACTAATAACTAAACTATAAGTAAATCTTATTTAAAATTGTTAATTATATTTAAAAGTTAACTTTCATGAATACTTGAAAGCACTTCAATCCTAATTTTGTAAATAAATACAAAATTCTAGTTCACTGCTTACGTTACACAAGTTCTAAAAGAAGCCTGAGAAGTAAGTCGTATAGAGACCGGTGTGTAAGGCACGCGTGTCGGTTCGAAGGCACTGCGAGGAACTGAGCCGTGGTTGGTGTGTAGAGTCGGCGTAGCGGCGGAGCACCTCGCCGGTCGCATTACCTCGCTGATAACGTGATAATAGTAGAGCATTGGATTGCCACCTGGCGATGCGTGCTCTGTTGCATGTACCCATCAAATTACAATATAACCATACATGACAATTTGATAGATTCCATAAATGGTTTTGATGCCTAGAATTCGATTGTTTTTTTTTTTACTTGTAAAATTCTGACATGCTGGTATTCGTATATTTTCTCCTTATACTCTGATTTTAACACCATCTAGAGGTTCTTAGCTATAGCTGGCCTCGGTAGGTGCGCCGCCTATTTCACGTGTGTTATCGAGATTAAGATTTTATTTTTATTTTCTGACCATAATTCATTATTATTTATTATATTCTTTGGATTTCTAACGTAAAAACATGTGACACAAAATTTTCAATGTCTGTTGCAGGACAACCTCTGCCTTCCTATTCCAAACATTTGTTTATAATATTAAAGAAATGATCAATTTTAGTAAAATTAATGAAATTATTGTCTAGTAGATAATGATTAACCCTCAAATATTAACGATATTCATATTTAGTTAATAGTTGTTTTTTTTTCAACTAGCGCCTTACCCTCGCTTCGCTCGGGTGCGTGCGTCCCTAGGTAAGTTTTAATTTTTTTGAGCAGATCCTTAATTCTTTTTCTAAAATAAAAGTATCCTAAATTACTCTTTATAACATCAGCTATCTACCAGTGAAAGTCTCGTTAAAATCAGTCCAGCCGTTTCGGAGATAAACCGGAGCAAACAGATAGACAGACGGACAAAAATATTAACTTTTTTTTGTTTTCATATAAGTACCGTATACAATTATATGCATTTAGTAAAAAGCTGTTATTTTGACATTACAGACACTTCAATTTTATTTATCTGTATAGATCAAAAACAACTATAATCTAGCTTTTTAATTATTTGCGGAGTATAATATTCTTCCGTTACGCTTATTAACTGTATAAAAATATTAATATATAATGTTTGTTATAGTTTTTACTTTTTATATATATTTTCAGCTCTTATGAGCGCAACGAAATAGGAAATTAGATGCGCTTTGTGCAAACAATAATAATCATTTTGTGCACTTGTTGATCCTCTTAAGTGATCACAAGAGTTACCTACGTGTTAAATATTTTATGTTTTTTTGACATTCATTATCAGAATTTGATCAAATTGTGTATCACACATTGTTGCGTAGTTAAAAGTGTAGAGCCTTATTTACTTAATATGTTTTTAACCCAGAAAAGAAATCCTACGAGAGCTATGAATTTTGTAAATAAAAATTAATATAAATCAATAGGTAGGTACTATTGCTATAAAATATACAGATAAAATACGTGTTATAAAAAGAGGACTTTTAAGTCAATGGCTAAATCAAAATAACTTTTTTTTAGTATGAATTCCAAAATTTCAATTTTATTGGCGCGTATGTGATTTTTCGTAGGATAGACACAGAAAGATACTCTTTAATGCAAATAAAATGATCCCGCCAGTTTTTTAAAAACGAAATCGGATAAAAAATATTGTAAACATGGATATTTACATTTTTGAACATAGCTAGCTAGCTGACCAAGATACTAGTAAAGAACAATCAACTTAAATAATACTAGCGACTCACCTTCGCTTCGCTCGGGTGCGTCCCTAGGTAGATTTTACATTTTTTGAGCGGAAACCTAAGTCTTTTTCTAAAATAAAAGTAGCCTAAGTTACTCTTTATAGCAGCTATCTCCCGAGAAAGTCGCATTAAAATCCGCCGTTACGGGGAATAGCCGGAACAAACAAGCAGACAGACAATTGAATATCAAAAAAATATTTTATATACATTTGCCACATCAGTATAGGTATGTAGGTACTATGGATCTTCCTACAGGAATACATTGTCAAAATTATCAGTCTGTCTAGACACATAATTATATAGGTGCGCTCGAGGACGGCAACGAAGTATATTCAGATGACAGGAGCGCAATAGTTTTAAATGTTACATCACAGGAAGCCAAAATAACAAAGTACTTCCGCACACCTCTGTGTCCATTCATTTCGTTTTGGCACTGAAATAGATAATTTTTTTCATGTAAGATATTTAATATTTTTTTATACTATTGCTTATTGTTACTATATATGCATGCGAAAGTTTTCCAGATGATAGGTATGTATATCTATTACACGCAGTGATAGCTGGTCTCTCTGTCTACCGAAGAAAGAAATCAAAAACCCGACTGCTTAAAAAATTAACTAAAAAGACAAAAATAAGTTGACGAAGGATAATATTATTATGCAGTCGAATCATCGAAATTGGTTAAGGCGTTTAGTAATTACCAGGGAACTTAAGATCGGACATACTGACCTGTATGTACCTATATTCGCCGCAGTAGGGTAAAAAGCAAGGCGATAATATAGTAATTTAGAATGATAAATTGAAATTATCCATTTTAATAAAGTCAAGGAAATCATTTACGCTTAAGATGCCTTTTGCCTACTATCGATATATCCACCTACCTAGTACCTTCCGAAGTATGACGGCATACGTTCATGCTGCTCGTGAATAATTAGTGAAGTATCAATTACACTTTAATTCATTTAACAGGTGTTGATGGAAATGTTCGATGAATGAATCAACACTGTAATATTTCCTTCTAGCAAGGACCTCGATTTGAATCAGTGCCTAAAATAAACGCTAAGCTAGGTGATAATGCTATTTTGCTAGCCGCAGGATTTTGAAGTAAAATTAATATTACATTGCACATCTTCGAAAATCGATCAAACTTCATTAAGTTTTATCGTTATTTAGATTCATTTGCCAAAGTTACATAACTAGCTTCAAGCTTGTAACCTTCGAACCAATAAATGCAAAGATTTTTCAAATAGGACCGCCCGCAGACCACAGTTCCAGAGGCAGCTCGTGGAGACAAACATACAACTCTAACATTATATACTTATTGTGTAATTAAAAATGATAAAGATATAATACTATTTAACATAACAACATTATATAACACATATATATTTAAATATTAAACATGTAAAATTTTGCAAATTTTAATATAGGAAATCAAGTGCCGAAAACACTAATATTTCTCAAAGTTTATTTACTAATAAGAAAATACCAGTTAAAAAATTATTTAACTTAATCTGTAAATAATTTTACCATATATTATGTATGTATGAAAGGGTTGAAATAAAACAAAGTGATAAAGAACGAGAACAAATCATATATTTCTGTTACATCCACATCTTACATTTAAGGCCGAGTTCGGAACACGGTTCACGTAGTTAGTTATATTTAATACAATCTAGACACTGATAGCTTTGCAGGGTCGATGCCGCGGCGCCGCCCATTGGTCCCCGGTTCATCTTAAAATTGATTTTAGGACCACGAGTTTGTTGTACTTTGTAACTATATTTTTCTACGGCCACGGTTATTTTGACTCGATTAGTGAAGTAGAGAATATTTTTATAAAATAACAATAAGTACAAATATTGAATCTATACACCTACAAAACAAGATTCATACAGATTGATTGATTTATTACCTACAATGTTTTATTTTAATCAATATTTTAGCACATTATTTGAATTTCATTTTGTTCTTTTGAACTTAGAGTAATCACTTTAAAGACGGCTAATAGCTATATATTATAAAGTTATTATAAATACCGTTTTCCTTTTATTAACTTGACAGATTTAAAATATAAGAGATTTCATCTAATTTAGTGATAATAGAAATTGTAGTGTTCCGAACTCCGCCGTCTTAGTTAATTTAACAGTTAACAATAATAAACTGTTAGAGGTATATGAGATAAATATCAGTAACACATCTTACAAAAACCCGCTAGTCGACGTTGTAAAGACTCTGAAAACTTGCCAGTTATACATATATCACAATAATTCAGTAGACTCGACACGGTTTTAAACCACCCTGTACACGTCAAAAATCCTTATTACCCAAAATTTAAAACGAACGCTTCACATTTTTTTGGATGTAAAGAGTGGGTCAGGACCGAGTCTGTTTTAGTAAAGTACATTTAGCTTCTGTGAAGGATAAAATAAAGCTATTAAAAAGTTTGGGACAATGGTTTGGTTGGTTTAGCTAACAATGAAACGGTGCCGATGAACCGTGCTGGTCACTACGCGGCCTCACTAGGCAAGGAGCGACTGCAAATAACCATCTCATTCCTACATGTAATATTTTATACAATTATATAATTTAGAATTTAAAAGCTTTTATATTTCAAATAACGTAACAATAACAATCAAATTGCCTTAAAAAAATTTCAATTGTATAATAATTTTCTTTTTTTGAAAGTACATAATTAATAAGTCAAAACGGAAAATTAAAAAAATCTCGCTTCTTAAATTTGGTACCCTCGATTTTAGTCAAAATATGCGTGTTATGTAAATAATAGGTATTATAAGATTTTTAATATATTAATAAATAGGGTACACAACAAGGCAAATATTTCATATCATGCCGGTGAACATTAATTATACATAATTTTTTTTTTTATGTAAACTGAAAGTCTTGCCTAGTGACGCTTTACCTTAAGCATACAAGAAAATCTAATAATTTTAACAATAACATATATATACAATTTCGTTACAGAAGGTTAAATGATTACGTCATACTACTAACGTGCAATTATTCCATTCTGAATTGCAAAAATTTCATATTTTTTCGAATAAAAAACTAAAAAATATTAAAAAATTGATAGTGATACGAAATTAGTAGTTTTCGCAGATCCAGAACGGAACTCATCTGCTACACTGCACATACAAGCTGGGTAAGTTTTAAATTAAACCATTGATTTCTAACATCGAGTAAAGCTAATATATAACCTCCAAATGCATAAAACACGTAACAAAATAGGCCGTACTCTACGAATATCAGTGTTTAAAGCACATTAAATTATTTTAAGACACTGGCTGATGGATTTTGATTTGGAAAATTAATAAATACAATCTTTTAAAAAAATATTCAATATTTATATAAAATACCTGATAGTCACTTTTATTCTGGATAAATATAATAATAATTAACACATTTTAGAACTATAAAAGGTTGCATACCTCTATTTCGTCTTTCTCATCACTTAAACTTAATTAAATGTAAGAAAATCGAATGGTATGGAGGAGAGATTAGAAGTAGGCTAAGTAGAATACACCCGTCTGGTGGGTACATTGTACAAGTCCTAGAACTATAAGTAGTCGCAAGTGTATGTGGAAAACTATACAAAAAAATATTATAAAAATAACTTCTATCGCACTGTTCACATTTGTAGAGCTCATCGAAAGTATATTTAATAAAATAATTGTGACGTCGCGTCCATCCATCAGCCATCTAAAAGTTTCATACCAAAATAATACGCTATCCGAAATTTTGAAACAAATCACATTGCCTTAGATTATTCACATTAGTTCATAAGATGGTGTCGCCATAACCAAGTGAAATAAGACCACATAATGATGAATGGAGTGACAGTATTTTTTTTTATTTAAATGGCTGACATAGGAGAGATTCGATCCCCCCCAACGTGCGTTCACCTTGTCGTGGTGGGGGGGCTCAGTAGTAGTACGAAGCTAAGAAACGCACAGGGAGGTTGCCCACTTCGGTGGGCGGTGGGAGGTGGCCCTCTTCGGGGGGCGGTGTACCTTGCGGGTTGCTCCTGGTACTTCTCTGATAGCGTGAGTCCCACACGTCGTGCTTAAATGCATTTCCCAACGTGAGATTCGATAGATAATATTTAAAATTAACATAATCTTCAAATATTTTTTAAACAGATTATAATATCCAATAGAAATCAAAACCTAAGAACATAATCGTATACTGTGTTCTATACAAAGCTCTACCTATGTCAGTCTGCGCAAGTTAAAATTCAATTACTTAAAATATAAGTTATTCAGAATAAATTGTACTCTTAGCAAATATACATAACTAATCGAGTAACAATAGTATTTAATTAATTATAATACTTATACCCTTGGTAGTCTTTGGTCAAATTATTTTTAACTTGTAAAATTCAAAGATATTTAGAATTGCATTAATTACAAAGTAAGCGTTTGAAATTCATAGAATTTTTCAATTATTATATTAGAGATGTCTAACTATGCATTTATTAGTGAATTAGTATAGAAAAATTGATTTCAAAATAGTATAAATGAATATCACTGGAAGCAGATCATACATTATTTGATTATTGTTAAAGTATTGTACATTAAATAAATAAAAAAACAAAATAATTAGCAAAACATTGATCTTAATGAGAATTGCATGTACATATGTATTATATGAAAAAATGTCCAAAAAAATATATTTTACAGAAAACTATACTTCATAATCGATATATTAATAGTGTAGATGATAAAAATTTGATTTATTTTTGAATAAATAAAAAAATGATTAAAAACTGCTAGGAACTCAATAAAACAGCCGGTAAAACAACTACGTAACGTTAACCTGCTGTAATACTCTGAATGATTATGGATACACTGATTTCCAAATATTATACGAAGATACTAACATATCTAATTGTAAGTGTACGTGGAGTAAGCGAGGGAAATGTATCTCATCGGTGTTACATTTAAATTATGCAAAAATTATTGAAATAAAGACGATATAATTAAATTATTTTCATTGTTTGATTACAGTATTAGTAACAATACCCGTTGGCTCGCCTACTCAACGTACAGCAATATCTAACACATGCACGTACCTTGTGGGCGCTAAAGCCTGATTTAAAAATGTATATTTAAAATTCCATTAAAATGTGACGAAAATATATTTTATTTATCCGATGTTATGTCACGAACTTGACAGCCGTATTGAATGCACGGTAGTAGATTGAAGTGGGTTCGTCATACGATGGTGGTGAAGTGCGCCTACGCATCGAACGAAAAGACGCAGATGAACGAATCGGTTCACAGAAGTCCTGTTTAATTGGATGAGGGAGTTTGGTCTGAAAGGGTTTAGTTGTTTCAGCAAATGGTGAAGAGCTCCGAGCGGGTGTCAGCTCAAGAGCGCCGCGGTTGGCTCGTGTCGTACGCGCGTATGACGTCTGCTTGGGAAACACTCGCGCCCTCTTCTTGAGAGAACGCGAAGCCATCTGTATAAATATATTAGTATTAAAATTGAGTAATTAACATATGTACTATGAATTTGTAACATTTTTTTGCCAAGCGAGAATCGAACCCGCAAACGGTATGACTAAGCATGCTATATGAAATGATAAAATATTATTGTTTGGCATTAATAATATGAGTTAACTAAAATTGTTACTCGTGATTATTGCATATTTATGTAATAAAAAATTGTAATGAAACTGTATATCAATTGTAAAAATTGTTCAAAAATAATATGTTAGCTATAATTTGATGATTCAAAAAGAAAATAATGTTACTCATGTAATACCTACCCTTAAGTCCTGTTCGTCTAGCCGAGCTTAAATTGAGAGTATGATTTTTGAAATGATTTAGGGGGTTAACCATGTAGGTTTTGTGTGACCACACAGGTGTACTACTGAAGCGTTGTCTTAGCCAAGTGACGTAACCTGTTTTGGTACGCTAAGTGGTTAGTTTGTGTGGCGGCTGCGTGCGGTCGGTGGCGGATTTACTTTAAAATATGGTATCACCGAATTTACATTTCTTTGTTTATTTTAAATGAAAATATCTTTTATCGGATTTTGTATCTATTTTATGTTCCTGACGTTTCAGAGTGCTTTACAATATTTGACGACACGTTTGGCTCAGTCTGTACTTTGTAGTGATTCTACTTGCTGTGCCAACGTCGATTCGAATTCCGCTGGGGGTATTCATTTGTGTGATGAGCACGAATGTTTGTACTTCAGTAATGGGTGTTTATATTTATATTATGTATGCACTTAAAATTATATTATGTAGTGTATCAACTATCTGGTATCCATACAAGCCTCGTAGCTTACCATGGAACTAGATGGTGCTGTGTGTTAATGTCCTAAAATTATATATTTATTTTTGTCACGAGAGAGACGGGTCTCTCTCACAAAATCCGTAAAGATAATTTCATTTAAAGTGTCAAATATTTGCGTAAAAGTATGAACTTTTTAATTGTCATTATCCTAAGTTGTCAAGAAATCATATTCTATCCGCCCCTACGTACGACGTGGCACGGTACCCGCAAACCCGCCACCCAGTGCAATACTCACGCGACAGCTCGAGCTCCGTGGTGGCGCGCGTGGCGGAGCGCCTCCCGAACACGCTGCGCACATTCTGCAGCAGGCGCGCGGTCTCCGTGAGGCTGCCACATAAACGGTGACAACGGAATTGAACCCGGTACCGTACCCTCAACGTTTACAATCCTTAACTATACCTATCGTGTATACTCATCGACAGTAACGATCGTGTAGATAGAATATATATATTTTATTATGGGATCGTGACGGGCGGTGAGTATCGTACAAGCGTCTACAAGCGTGGCAACTCATATAGTTCAGCGTGAAAGTGAGCGATTGTGGACATATTAATCTCATTTTAGTCTTTCGATTAGATATATCACAATCGCGCACAAGTAAGCTTACGCAAAGGGGGCAGAGGCAGCGTGCGGGGTTTGGGGGTCGGGGCGGGGGCAGGCACATGCCAAGCCATGCGTATACTCACACTGCGCCAGGCGCGCCACGGCGAGCCGCGCGTCCGTCGCGCTACAACAACCACCAGTTAGTCACCGACACGTGCGTTACAACAATACATACATACATATGTCTCATCGCTTCTGATAATCAATTTATCACCTTAGTTATTGAAAAACATTGTAGTGTGAACATTTATGAGCATTTTTTTCATTTTTTGATCACAATATATAATTAAATGTAAAAAAAAAATATTTTCATTTAAAATGTAACAGCGGATAGGAGATTTGTAATTCCAATATATCAATGGACAGACCAATTAAAACTCAACACTTTATTCATTACAAATTGTTACAAACAGTATAAATAGCGCTCTCTTATGTATACATTGTCAATACACTAAATTACATATAAGAAGTATTTTAAACAAATCTTTCAGCTTATTAGAAAAATTTAAACATTTATAATTATGTACAATATTTTGTCAGATATAAACAAAAACATAAGTTCAAATAATTTAAAGTGCAAATTTAAATTTTAGATAAGTGAGAAATCAACTTTGCAAAACTGAAATCGAATTAAATACAAACACAATGACACGTGCATTGAAATAGTAGTGAGAAGAGTTTGTAAAAAATCTAAATAAGCGGAATAAATGAGAATATTTCCAAATGTTATTTACATTGGTAACTATCTCAACGACCACCTGCAGCTTCACTCGTTTTTCCTCACTTGTTTGTATATCAAATTACTTACTCATTAATTATTATCAAATATAAAAAAAAACTTTTTGAGAAAAAAATCACATGAAATTCATAAATAGAAAAATAAAATATTGATTTTGAGTAACTTATTATAAGTCTAAAGTATATACAAAATACATACAAACACACAACAATTTTGGAAGAACGGTTTAGATTTTCATTTAGTAATAAAATAAATAATAACCGATCTTATCGGACACTTAAATGCGATTTACATGAAAATCAAAATGTCTTTCCTCTGCTAATTTAGAAATAATGCTAAAATTCTACCTTTTGAGTACTTTCAGTAAGTTATATAAAACAAACACATTTTGTAGGTACCAAAAGTAAAGTGTACAAAAATAGAAACGCTAGCTCACTATGTATAACTATAACACAACTATAAACATTTGTACAATTCTAATAGCTGACAACGATGCGTCGTCAATACTTACAGCCTTTGGGAGACGGAACTTCATTTTATAACAACGTTCGGATACACAAACATGAAAATTGTAATATTTTTATACATAATATTATTCGTCGTTCAATTGTGAAATCAATACTTTTGCTTATAATACAAAAATTTATGTTTAAAGTATATTAATTATCTATATTGTCATTTAGTTATTAAAATAAATATTTTTTCAACGACACAGCACGATCAGACGCCGAAATCAATAAATAACAAAAGCTAAATAAAATGCACACAAGATGTACATTTGCTAGCAGCTGTGTGAGTTCGACCGTCTTCAGATATACTTGTATAGCTTTAAATGCACAGAGTTAACTACTTTGTACTGGCTGCATTTTTTCGTACTAGGTTTTTTTTTAATTTTCTACAATTTGAGCAATATTACTTAAATTTCTCGGTTTTGTTTCTTTATTCAGTATAACGTTACATCTAAATCTTTTAAATAGGAATATTTAGTTCGAAATTTCGCAATATTTGTTATTAATAGAGCATTTTGTAACAGTAAACAAGCATCGTCACTATCTACAACTTAATAATTATTATAAATCCCTAAACAAATTTAATAATATTGCTTTCGGAATCACTATTGGAATGATAACAATTTCAACTTATATATAATATAACCTTATAGCAAAATTTAACGTTTTCGTACACAGATCAAAAACAAACGTTAGCTCAACAGTAACAAAGTGAATTATTCTACAAACAGTGTCAACTTGGAAAATTTTATATACAAAAATGTTTCAAATATTGCCTACATATTTAAATAGAAGAGCTTTATTGAAATAAATAAAAGTAGCATCAGTCCGTACTAGCGACCGATTGAACCTAGGCCTAGCAGGAGTTTAACACACAATAGTTACCGTTTAAAAGCGGTCGTTCCTGTCACAAAGCAAATCAAGTCAGTCCAACTTCCAAAGAAACTGTTAAACAGTATTATCTATATTACTATATTATATATAACAATAAATAAGTATAAAAATATCACGAAGACCAACTTCACTACTCGCGTAGCGTGGAAGGAATGTATCATTTCGACTCTATTCAAATACTATATCATAGGAACATTGTAAACATTCTTATTAATCAAAAAACGTCAACGAGAAATGTCATGATAATAAATTATAATTATTCACTAAAACTTTTAAACTATATGCACGACGCACTGTATAATAGAATCAATTCAGATATGTATTTAGGTTAGATCGTGAGGGTCGTGTCATATGACATGTGAGACTCGAGGGCGGGGCGGTCTCCGGGAGCCGCCATTTTGCTGTCGGCCATTTTGCGTGTGGGCGTGTCCGCCGTTTTGTAGCGCGTTTAGCGCGTGCGGCCGCTCCTCGGGCGCCACGCGGCGGCGGCGCGCCGGCCCCCTGCGCCCCACACACACACGTCACACCTCCGCGCCCCGCGCCCCCAGCCGACCCCTCCCCAACATTGCTTTCTTACGATCACAACACGATATGGGAGTGGTTTATATTCAGATAATGACTCGATAATGGAAGGGAAAACTCTATTTTTAATAAAACTGTAATATTTACAGGAGATAAAAAGGTCATGCGGTAATGTAGAGGCGGGGGGCGGGCGCGGGGTGCGGGAGGGCGGTGCAAGCGAACCAACGATACACAACTTAGTATGTCTGGACTATACACCGAATTGCGTGCACACTACACATTTATTAAGTGACATTGTTTATGACACTTCATGGACTTTCACTGCTACATTATAATTTGTTACTTCACTTTTTGAGTAAAAAAAATATATTTCTTTTAATTTTAAACAAAATAAATGTAAAATCCATGAATTTCAATAATATATATAATAGAATGATAAAATACTACATAATATACGCTAATGTGTAAACCCAAATTACTGTGCAAATATGTATCAAATAAAATATGTAAAGTAAAAAAATATTTCATAGTATAAATAAAATTATATACATCAAATCAATATAAATAACATACAAATAAAATAATAAATAACAAATGATTGAGTCTATTTTTTGCTACTTTCGTTTGTACAAGTTCTAATTTGAAAAATCTTCTATTATATTTGGAAAAGTTACTTATTTTGAATCTAGATCTAGAGATGTATGTAAACTACTTTCAGTTACTTTTTATTATATATATTAATAATATATACATACATATAATAGTGGTTATTCACATTATAATATATAAAAGTCTATAGATTATATAGGGTTAGTCACATATAACTCAGCTCGTCCATATGTCCATAAATGCATATATCAAATAGACACACGAATATTCTTCATAAAACAAACAGTAAGGAATAACAATTTTATAAAAGATAAAGTTACAAAAATGGTCCTCATAAAATACGGAACGTTAAAAATTTCATATGTACTTGACATTTTTTACTTTCATAAAAAGGGGGTAAAGTATTATTATTCCTTAGGCATATAAATATATATGTTTGATATATAATAATAAAGCTAACACTTTTGCTATCGAGCAGTTTAAATGTTTCTTTTTTGTATATGATTTTTATTTTATTTTTGTATAAATTCGAACACTATTAAATTGTAATTCAGTCGGTCAAGGCCTCAATCCATACGAGACAAAAACGTTGCTCAAAAATGCACGTTTGCCGATTCTCTAATCCCTGACAATCAACTGATCGATAGCAGAAGTCGAGGCCATAGGGCAGTAGGGCAATAGGGTCGCGGAGCCATAGGGCAGGAGGGGCGGTAGGGCGGTAGGGCAGTAGGGCAGTAGGGCGGTATACTCACGAGTGGCGCGGGTGCGCGAGCAGGGCGGCGGGGTCGCGCTTCTTGATCTCGCTCTCGCGCACCGCCTCCGTCATCGTTTTGAACGCCGAATTATGTATTCTGGAAAGTCAAATTTATTTTTATGCTAACAGAATTTAAATTTCACCGTATTAGATAATATTAACATTTCATTTGCATTTCATAAAAGTTTAGAACTTTTGATAACTTATAGTTTTTTTTATTGATTTTAAAGCTTGTATTAAATAAGATTGAGGATTTTTACATTTACCTATACACCAGTCGAATTTTACTAATATAGATTGTTTACACGCATACATTTAACTATAGACGATAATGAATAAATCAAATTATTTCTCTAAAAAAACATTATTTCCAAGTATGGTTGTGAGTTTTATTTGAATTAAAATATACTAAAACTAGGCTTTACTTTTATTTTTTTTACTCTTACGTGATTGACTACTTATAATATCAATACAATACATTATCAGAACGCATATATAAACGAGATAAAATGAAAATGTACAAACTACATTTTACTTAATAATACTTTCTTAGATCTACGCAGATATTTGACATTTAAAAAAAATATCTTTTCGGATATTTTCGCTGATTTATTTTAATTTTTAGAGCGACTAAATCTCTCCTGTGACTGTAGTGTGGCTCACAGGACTTCGAACATAAAGGTTATCTCTAACATCATTACATGACCACGATTGCTGTGAAGCATTCGAAACGCCGGGAACAAAAGATCAAAATAAATCTGCGAAAAAACCGGAAAGACAGTTTTATTTATAATACATTTTACGTCTGCTATAAGAGATAACTATATAAAAACAAAATTGAACTGTCTGTATCACTTATATATTCTCATTGTTCGGCAGATTGCACATGCAGAGAACTTGGCGGCCGTCCTCTTCCGGACATATTTGTTTGGGACCAAAGATATCAGTCAATCTATCAATCAAATCGATTTATATTTATATAGTATAATTATTGTATATAATGCATTTTTATACAATTACTGTAATATTATCTATTCAAAGAATTATAAAAAATTGTCGTATTTTAATTACACGACTACAAAAAAAGTTGTCTTTGTCCTAAATTTTATTTTATAATTTTTCTATTCATTATATTGAAAGGGATAATTACCCATATTCCTTAAAAAGTTTGTTTTAGTGGTAGTTATAATAATAGGCTAAATCCTTTTTCTTGAGTTATTATATTTAAAAAAGTTCAATAGTTCCGATATTTTTTAAAATACCGTTAATTCATTCAATTCAGAAGAACAACGTTTTCATTAAGACACCATGGACTTTGAACACCGTTTCGGGGCCAATACAACGAAAATATGATGGGGATTTGGGGTTTAGTGAAAGAAAGTACTTATAAACATGAAAGAAAAAGTAATAGGGTTCACTTTTAAACTTTTTCTACTATTTAGTTATTTTTTGTACTTTGATATGATATTAAAAGGTAATAAAAATGTATATAAAAATATATTTGTTTCAATTTATTTATAAATACAAAATCGAAAATTCAAACTATAGAGTTTCAGTAATATTGATAATATAATTATGGTTACACCTCGTCCATCCGCTGTAGATTAAGATTTACATGGAATAAGGGAGACGCAAACTCAGCGTCTGGTCGGCCCGCCCGGCTTCCGCCGGCCGAGTATGTATTCAGACATTAAAGGAGCCTCGAATCGGCTACATGTGTCTCATTTAGTTTTATTTTTTTTCTTAATTTAATTTTAAGTTAGTATAAATAGTTTTTGAAACGCTCCGAAACCAAAAGTATACATATAACCGTTCTCCTAGATACAATAGCAAACTTTTTTAGGCCTTGTCTAACTTATTAATAAATCTATCGAAATCTCTCTCTCTTATCAAAGTCAAAATTAGTATTGACCTATGTTATAAGTACACTCGTTAATTTATATGGAATACTAATTACTTTATATTTTTGTAATATATAACATGTGCTTAGTGTTTTAGTCAAGGAAACAAAAATATAATTAAAGTCATTATTAAGACCAGTTTCTGTGTGTGCGTGAGTGCGCGTGTGTGCATGGGCGTGTTTGTGCGTGCATGTGTAATGTGCGTGTGTGCGTGCGAGTGTGCATTGTACTTGTTTGTTATTCCTTCAATCTTAAGTTGAGAGATTTTGATAAAATGATGTGTGTACTAGATAAATTATGACCCGGAGAAACACAAGCTATTGTTAGGGATCCGGGGACGCTCCCGAGCGGAGCAAGCATAAGCCGTTAGTATGTAATATAAAATGACTTTCTTATAATGTAAATATAATGTGTAGGCGCATGCGTGTGTGTGCGTGTGTGTGTGTGTGTGCGTGGGTGTGTGTGTGTGTGTGTGTGTGTGTGTGTGTGCGTGCGTGTGTGTGTGCGTGTGTGTGTGTGTGTGTGTGTGTGTGTGCGTGCGTGTGTGTGTGTGTGTGTATACGTACACGGTGACGAGGAGGTCGGGCAGCAGCGCGGCGACGGGCACCAGCAGCAGGCCGAACCAGAACACCAGCGAGCTGAACACCATGCGGTCCATGCCGCGCATCACCGCGCCGATCACCACCGCCGGGTACAGGTTGCTGCCACGCCACATCACATTATTTATTCCATACTAATATTATAAATGTGAAAGTTTGTGAGGATGGATAGATGGATGTTTGTTACTCTTTCATGGCAGGACGGCTGAACGGATCTGGATGAAATTTTGCATAGAGATAGATTATAATAGTGGAATAGCACATAGGTTACTTTTTATCCCGGAAAAATGCACGGTTCCTTTGAGATTACCATATTAACCGTTAAACGCACCTAAAGACGAACCCGAGCGAAGCGAGGGTGAGTCACTACTCTCTAGTAATATTATAGATGCAAAAATTTTAGTGAAATCAGAATAGAGATAACTTATATTATGGATTAAAACATAGATTTTTTATACTTTTTATTGACATGGTGATCGATTTAGGCCACGATGGCCTTTCTTAATGACACTAGCCAACCGCAAAGGAGATTGTTTAGAGTCGCAGGCAAATTATAGTGTAACAAAATGAACAAACCTATATACAAGTATGAAGAGGAACCAGAGCGCGAGCGAGCCCCAGATGGAGAGGTGCGTGACCCACGTCCACGAGTGCGTCGCCAGCCCCGCCTTCAGGCACACCGTCGCCACCACGAACTGGAATAAGACATAGACCATAGTTATTTATAACTTAACATAGGTTATGGTCTTTTTTGCCCATAATTATATAGTGATACTAGCGGCTCACGCTTGCTTCGCTCGGGTTCGTCACTACGTACGTTTTAAATAGATATAAATAGTTATTAGCCAGCGTTAGCCATATTTTTTTTTTGTTAATAATATTGACAAATATGGACATTAATATTTATACGATTCTAACGTCACTCAATTGCCATCAATGTTTTGCCTTCCCGGAACCTCTCCACTAACACTTAAACTTTATGTTATGGTGTTTAAGTTCAAATTGACTTTTAGTTATTATTACGAATCTTTTGTATGGTAGTATAGAAATGTGTTGTTTTTAGACTTTTTCAGGCAATTTTTTTTAATTTTTCTCTCCGTAAGAACCATCCTCGTACTTCAAGGAATATTCTAAAAAAAGAATTAGCGAAATCGGTTCAGCTGCTCTCGAGATTTGCGCTTACCAACACACTCAGCGATTCATTTTTGTATTATAGATGAACATGTTTTTTTCGGTATCATATATGGAGGACAATAAAAAAATGAGTAGTTTGTTCTCCTCTTCTTCTATTCAAATGAATTAATTGACTGTGTAATAAAAGTAGTCTGTTTTTAAGGTACCAAACTAAAACCTATAACATCAAGTGTAGTGTCGCAGATATGTGATTTAATTAGCGTAACGATGTCCTCCTGATTAAATTCGAGTCCCAGATGGGCCGTAATTAGATTTCCAAAAATTCTAAATCCTGTTTGTATATCAATTTTGACCTCAATATAATTTCAGTGTATGTATTGTTGATAATTTCGTAAGAGTACCGTGTAGACGAAGTTGCCGAGCACGAGGTAGCCGCCGTCGCGCGCGCCGGGCCACAGCACGTGGTGCTGCGCCAGCAGCACGGGCAGCCAGAACAGCAGCACGGAGTGCAGCAGCGCGTTCACTGCCCACACCCAGAACACGCGCACGTTGAACAGCTGCCCCTGCTGCGACGGGATGTACAGCGCCGGGTGCTGGCCGGACAGAAGCGAAACTTAAAAAGTGCGCGTGTGTGCAATACGCACAAGGTACAAGTGAAACGTAATATTATATATTTTTCAGACAGTAACAACGGTTACCATGGCAACGTGGCATTTATGTGTTTATCTCTTTTTATAAACATCAAAAAGTTCGGCTATTCAAGACATATTATAAACCGATACGTTAGTTACAGTTATAAGTAAATCTGAAAGAGCGTATTTAAAGTGACATATTGCATTATATTACGGTTATTTTAATCTATATATTTGAGAGAAAGGCAAGTCAAAATTTTAAACAGATTAATCGACATCGTAAGCTACAATAAAACAACACGTAACAGTGTTTTATTTTACTAAAAGAAATAAATAATAATAATATTTCATATATTCCTATAACATTTTCGTATATTTATGCAAATATTTGACATTTTGAAATAAAACTATCTTTTCGGTTTTTTTCGAATATTTTTAATAGAATGTAGACTCACCCTTAACATAATCTCGGGCGAGCAGATCTTATCGAAGAGCCCTATGGCGAAGGGCGGCAGCGCCGTGAATATCACGTTGTAGAAACCTATCGTCCATCGCTCGAATAGGATTTGTCCGGACCTAGGTCGTGTAAATAAGAACAAAAAACAATTTAAACATTAGATCATTTTTGATAGCTTTTTCCGAAATTTGCAAGAAAGCCAAAAAAAAAACGGGGAAAAAATAATATTAATGGAGAACCTACTCCTTTTTTTAAAGCGGTGGTAGTAACTTTAAAAAAATATGAAGATTGTACAAGAACAGGTTATATTTGTAAACTTATCTTTAAAGTATAACTTTAAGCATAGACAATAAATACAATTTTAAATTAATTTGAAATCAAAAAGAAGAGTTTATTAAGCCTTCGCAGTGCAGCACACATTACAGTGACATGGAAATGTAGTTCCATCATATATGCATGTATAGTAAGTTTCTTCCGAACACTGACCAGGCGGAGTAGATGGCGAACCACAGCTCGATGACGTAGAGACAGATGTTCTTGTAGAAGGAGTAGAGGATGAGCTTGCTGATGCGCGAGTAGTTCCAGGCGCCGTGCACCAGCAGCAGCCGCACCAGGAACCGGAACTACGGACACGCATTGCTTTTAAGAACTTTCACTTCAAGTTTAGTGTGACAATAGGAAATCTACGTGACATTGGCGGAGTAATTTGTACTCAAATGACACGCTTTAAAGCTATTAACAAGAGAGAGAGAGAGCAAAAAAAACAATAGACAATAATATGCTTATCACTTATATTAATTTCAAATGATTTTTTTGAATACTTTTTGACCTCTATTATTTTTTTATTAAACTTATTTTTAATTGTATAAAATTTGTAATAAAAAGTATACAAGATGCGCGGTAGTATCAAAATTAGAAACGCAGCGCATTGGTGCACAACAAAATGTTATATCAGATGTAAAAAAGTTTGTACCACTATACAATACCAGATAAAAATGTATATTTTGTGTTGATAGTGTTTTGAGGAAAAATATATTTGTTGCTGCAGATTTTTACCTAATTATAATATCAATGACAATGTACAAAAGTGTCCCTAAAAGCAATTTAGCGATTGTTACAAAGTAAATGGTATATTTATTTAGTTTTAAGTTAAAAAAAAAAGAACCCAATTTTTTATTTCCAATGATTATATAGTTGTAACACGGTTTACTAATCTACACAGTCAACGAAAGCCTGTAGACAGGGTAATCGAAGACGAGCCACTTCTGATTGTATACGTTCCGACAATATCCCGTCGACGGATATAGCTGTAACTTGCCACGAGATGGCGCTTCAGGGCATAACCTCAAAACTGTTCATTATGAAAATCAATGGGATCGCTTCCTAAAGGAGTGTACGTTAAAAAAATTGATCATAAAACACAGTGATGTTATGTTAGATTACACAATTTAGTAAGAAAAAGTGAAGTTAATGTTAAGTTTTTTTAATATATAAATTATACTACTATATGTATAACAATGAGGACATATAAAACCGTATAATATAAATAGCCTAAGTTTTTCCACAAAAGAACAGTCAAGCACTATTTATTACTCTTAACCTAAAAACAAAACTGTAAATAAAAATATCATGTCAATAACAAAGATTTCGACCCCCATTTCGGAGGCATGCCAGTCGTTTATAGGCGTTTTCCTGCGGCTCGGCCCGCATAGTACATTAATCACCAACATATCATATACTAAAACCTTCTCCGAAACACGCTGCATCTTATGGTATGAGTATTATTCCGATCGGTTCAGTAGTTATCGCAGTATAACCGAATAAAAAAATCGACTCTCAATTTATCAGTATAGATAAAAAAGTAGTGTCGGTACCTGCGCGATGCTGTAGTCGGAGGCGCAGACGGCCTGCAGGCCCTCCACGCCGGAGATGCCGACGCCCACGGACGCGCGCTGGATCATGGCCACGTCGTTGGCGCCGTCGCCGATGGCCAGCGTCACGGCGCCCGTCGCGCGCGACACCATCTCCACCACCTGCCGCCCACGCATGTACTTACTACTCGTATACTTTCTTTACATTTTCACGAATATTTGACATTTTAAATTAAACTATCTTTTTAGATTTTTTTGCAAATTTACTTTCATTTTTGGTTCTGGCGTTTCGAATGCTTCACAGCAACCGTGATCACGTGAGAGACTAAGGTTTTAGGTTTTAATGTCTCAAAGGTTGTTCGACTCGTTACAGGCAGTGCCTGTCTAAATGTATAATGTAAATATAATGTATTGAGTAAATACGAAAAGATAGTTTCATTTAAAACTACGTACGTTTACGTATGGTTTAAATAAATTTAAATAGTTACTAGCCAACGTTAGCCATGTAAATTTTTATATTTTTTTTTGGTAATTTTTCTAATGTTTTAATAGTTGTTCTACTATTCAGGACAGAGACAAATTTAAAAAAATCTAAGACAATAAAAATAGGTGCAGACGTTCTTGAGTTATAAATGGTGTACCTTTTTTATTTTTTTTTTTTTTTGAAAAATGCATTTAGGCATACCACCTGTAGACATACAGGTGGATATGTGGGATTCACCGGCTAAAAAAAACAGTAGTACCCACTAAAACTCAATAAAACCTTCCTCCGTCTTAATGAGGGAGTCGCAGGATCACTTACGCACTCAACTACGACGAAAACAAAGCCACTAGACAGACCCACCTCAGCCTTCTGAATGGGCGAGACCCTGCAGCAGACCACCACCTTGCAGGACACGCAGAGGTCGAGGAAGTCCTTCTTCAGGTCGCAGCCCATGGCGTACTTCAGCGTCTGCCCGTCGATGACGAGCGCCACCTCGTTCTCCTTGCGCAGGTTGTCGCCGAAGTCCGCCAGGTGGCGCGACATGCACTCCCTAGTCGCCTGCGGACATACTCCTCATTTGTAATTACTACATTATTTAACAATGATAGTGTTCTTGATACGAATCTTTCTTCAAATTCATAATAGCAACACGTAAGTAAGATTATTATTAAATAGTAATATTACAAAATGTAATAATATAATCACATCAATTAAAATTAATGAAATAATATTAAATATTCAACTATAAATAACTTCTTGAAATTGTAAATATTGTTTAAGATTAAAATGAATAAATATTGTAAAGTATTTTGGCGCCATTTTCGAATTTTTGAAAATCATTAAATATGTTTGTGGGTGGGTGCAGTCTGTGACAACTATATGACCTTTGAGACGTAAAACCTTAGCCTCTCCATGATTGTTGCAAAGCATTTAAAACGTTGGGAACCAGAAATTAAAATAAATCCGCGAAATAATCTAAAATAATAGTGTATTTATTATTATCATGAATGTGAATGTTTGTAGAAAGGTTGGTTTATTCAAGTACTTTTCCTTTTTACCGTGACATTGTGTTTTCATATGGTAGAAAGAAAGTGCTTTAATATTATTTTCACTGTTGTTAAAATTTGGAGTGAAAAATTATTTATTTATAAATTAAATATAATAATAAACATATAGATGTCAGGTTGAGAATTTTTTATAAATAATCTATAACAGGAGGATTTATCATTAAATACTAACAGTACAGTATTTAAGAAAATTGAAAAAAACCATTTCAATAGAACTTGAACATATGTACATAAATGTTTTTGATGGCCTTCCGAGTCGGTGGTAGATTCATTACTGACACAGACATACATACTGACATTTAATTTAAATTTAAAATGTAAAACTGACGATTCAAACGTGTTTGTACTATAGTATTATTCAACTTGTACTATAGTGTAAGTTTAAAACAAACAAACAAAAGTGTAAAAACAAAATCCGACAAATAAAAGAATCGCGACTTCGTGTGTTGGTGTGTGTGTGCAACTAACGTCGAGGCTGTCCTCGTTGAGCACGAGCAGCGGCACGGCGGCGTGCAGCAGGCGCGCCGAGTGCGCCACGTTGATGGCCGTCTCCTGCTTGTCTCCCGTCAGCACCCACACGTGGATGTTGGCCTTCAGCAGCGCCGCGATCGCCTCCGGCACGCCGTCCTGCCGCACACCACGACACGTCATCGAAAATATAACACTTCAAAGTTACACAAAACCCTTGTCGAAATTTAAAATAGCATTTCAATTTTTATATGTTTATAATTGTTCAAAGTTACCCAAAACCTAACCCATTATAATATCATTTTAATCATTTCAAAGTAGTATTACACAATACATATGTTTAAACTTATCAGAACACTGACTATATATATCTTTTCTATTTTGTATACCTATATTTAACTTTAAATACATAAATAGTGTAAGCTGTAACGATACCTGCAGCTTGTCCTCGATGGCGGTCGCGCCCAGCAGGCGCAGGTTGGTCTCTATGAGCATGGCGGCCTCCTCCACCTTCTGCTCGCGGTCGTGTATCGCGATACTGGCCTTGTGGTATGTGTTAGCCCAGTCCTGGATTAAATGGTAGTCACTATATTTATTATTAATGAAATGCTTTTATCTATAGTTAGGTTCACGTTTTTCTTTAATTGACTGCCTTTGCAAAAATGCATAACTTAAAACAAAACCGCTGTCTACGTCTGTCTATTTCTCCATTTACTTCTTTTAAACCATGCAATGGATATAGATAGGATTTTCACTAATAGAAAAGGTGATAAATGGGAAAGGTTGGTGTATATAATTTGCAAAAAAAACTGTTTTCGTACGATTACGGATGGTTAACGCTGCCTAAACCTTTAGAGATACATTCAAAAAAATATATTAAGGAATAACTCCTTAAAAAGTCCTACAGAAAAGTTCTCGATAACATGTGTCATCTTGTAAGACAGTTCATAATTATCATTATTTGATATTCAGACCGAAAAAACTGTTTTTAATAAAAATAGAATAGATACGTAAACATGAAAATATGTTTAAATATATATTTTCACTTTAATCATAATACTTCCAGCACAGATATATAAACTAAAATAAAAAAAGTGTTTATAGTTAAAAGCCATTGCTTTACATTAATTGCTTAGATTCTAGCATCGATGAAAAAAGTACTAGATACACAATCGGCGACAAAAAATGTCCTCATCGGATGAGTGCTTATTTGAAAAATTTTGTCTGCTTTAAAAAAAATTGTTTGTAAAAACAACTTTAAACATTGCATTTAAGGTTCAATTTATATCGTTGTATATATAAATAAATATTTCAATTGGAATAATTACCTAAACACAATTGGTGACATTTGTAAGAGAACTTTTGAATGGGATTGTGTATTTAGTACTCCTTTGATCGATGAATTCTGAAAGATATTATATACTGTTGTATGCGTGCGCTCACATTGTAGACGTGGTCGGGCACGTCGGCGACGGCGAAGACGAGCGTGCGCAGGCCCTCGGCCGCGAAGTGCTCGAGGTGCGCCAGCGTGGCGTCGGCGTAGCGCGCGCAGCCGCCCGCGCCCGCGCCCGCGCCGCCCGCGCCCGCCAGCCGCGGGTAGATCACCGAGTCCGCGCCCTTGCAGAACAGCTTGATCTCCCCTGTACACGTACACATACATACGTACATCGACTCGGACTTTATATTGGCGAATTACCATCGCTGGGGAAGAGTAGGGACTTGGATGGATACAGATTGTGCCTGGGGATCTTTTTGCTGATTATATATAATTGCTTTTTTTCAAACCATTTAGTAGTCGGTGAGGAATGCTGACTTTTATAATCTGTTTCGATGATTACCGACTTCAAAATGAAGGAACTCAATACGACTTCATTTTAATTAATAATCATTTATTTATTTGATACATTTTATTTTTGAATAATTATTATATAATATTAAAGTTATTATTAGTATGCGAAGCAGTGTAAAAATTTGTTAAAATTATTTTCTAATAATTATGGTTAAAATTTATATCAGTATGGTGGGATGTATGTTTGGTTTGATAGATAAAAAAACATCCAAGCATAAAGTCAACATCACTATCAGTATCGCCACGTACCACAATAAATAAAAAATACCATTTCCGAAACCATAATCAAGTAATTAAAAAAATCATCAAAGCACAAAAACATTATCAGTATCAGTACTCATACAGAGCAGTGTACAGTATAGGTACCGTTGGGCGCGCGCACGATGACGGACATGCGCTTGCGCGCGGAGGTGAAGGCCAGCACGTGCAGCACGTCGTAGCGCAGCGCAGCGCCGCGCGCGCGCACGCACACAGCCGCCGGCGTGCGCGTCTCGAACACCCACCCGAACATGGCCGCGCCCATCACCAGCGCGCGCTCGTCTGCACGCACGCACACACATACACGATTATAAACCCCAACTTAAACATTCGGATACGAGAGAAATAGATATACATATTAGGTATATTGACCCCTAAGATCAGAGCTATGATATATTAGAAATAAAAAATTAACGAATGTGATTCCATATCTGGGCATTCCTCCTTATTTATATAATTATTAAATACGTCATTGCTAATTTTGGGGTTAAGTCAAAATTAGATTTTATTATACCGCATATGCCATTTTATTATTAGAAATAGTACACCTTTTACTTTTTTTGTTTTGTCACATACTCCTCCACTCAAGGTTGCTTGACAAAGATAGCTTTTAACAATTAGCCACATGTCATATTTTCTTTTTTGTGTTGTGCAATAATGAGCATTATTACTTTAAAATTTAGTTTACTTTTTACTATTTCTACTTAGTCCAACTACAAATATTTAATTATAATAATATCAGTGAGTACCTGGCGAGGCGGCGTGGTAGTTGATGTTGCCGTCGACAAGCTCGGGGATGACGGTGTGGCACACGGCCAGCATGGTGAGGAACTCCTGTATGACGGGCGCGGCGGGGTGGCCGTGCGCCAGGTGCTGGTGCAGCAGCGTGTCCTCCAGCCGCTCGTTGGGCCCCGGACGGTTGTAGATCACCTGACAGATTCACATATTTAGTTTTGTACGTATTTTCAATGCCGTATAATAATAAAAAAATACCAAATAAATGAAAATACACCAAATTTTTTTTGGGATGGACCACGTTTATTACTTAAGGGTATGAAAAATAGTTTACGTTCTATTCTCAAACCTACTGAATATAAACGCAAAATTTCATAAGAATCGGTCAAACAGTTTCAGAGGAGTTTTGTTACAAAAGCTGTGACACGAGAATTTTATATATTAGAATATATAGATAGAATAAAATACATTTATGGACAAATATTATGTAAAATATTTCCTATCAGTGTAATTAAATTAATGTAATGAGCACACAATATATGTTATCATTCGTAATTATTCATTTTTTATATACTATTTGAAAGATTATAATAAAACTAATAATGTGCAATCCCCCAAATGGGTTTTAATGATTATATCAAAAACACAAAGCTCGCTGGACCTCAAAACAAGATTTTTACGTATCATATTACAGCGTGGATTAGCGTGAATCTCGACGACACAATGTACGCGGCATGAATATATCCGTGCGTGTGTACCTCGGCGATGGAGCACTTGCGGAACTCCATGACGTTGCAGGTGAGCGTGCCGGTCTTGTCGCTGAACACGTAGCGCACCATGCCCAGTTCCTCGTTGAGGTTGGAGGTGCGCGCCAGCGCCGGCGTGTCCGTCTCCGCGTGGTACATGTCGCTGTCCATCGCGATGAACTTCGCCTGGGAACACACCAAACGGTCACCTCTCGTCGGAAGAACACTCGCTTGGCAGTGGGACTTTACAAAGTAAACGGCCGAATAAGAACATTTGAAAATTAACACACTAGAGCTCATATATTTAAATTTAATTAGTAGCAATCGATATCGTCAGCTTTTCGCTTAAAAAACATTCATATAACAACAAATTTATACCTGGGATTCCACTTGTATGGTACATATATAAAAAATAGCATATTATGTTGGTTTCAAACCAATAAAAATATAAGCTGCCTCCATTCCTTCTTAGGTTAAAGTACCTTTACAATAACTTTAATGATACTACATTACAAAAGAGATCATGAATGCCACATTGGATAAGATTAGTACAAGGGTTAATACCCTATTAAGTAATAATTAAGTCTTGGTGCAGTGAGTAATATAGGTATGTATATTTTCAACCGACTTCAAAAAGGAGGAGGTTCTCAATTCGACTGTATTTTTTTATGTTTGTTACCTCAAAACTCCGTCATTTATTAACCGAATTGGACAATTTTTGTGTTGCTTGAAAGTGCATACTTCCAGATTGGTCCCATTTAAATTTCAAAAAAAAAATACCACCCCTAAAGGTGGAAAAATAGCTAATGATGAATTTAACCTACTTCTAATTGTCATATTGACTTGAAACTTTGCAAGTGTTTCTATTTCCGTTGATAGTACAGTGGTTCAGTATTGTTGAACTGATCTGATGGTAAGGTGGATAGGTGGAACTCTTCAACGGCTAATAGTAGATACTTTGAGTTTGGGCTTATTTTGTTTGATTTGACAAGCCTAATACGTTAGAATTCTTACTTTGCTACTACTGTCTACACTAAAAAGGGAAAAAAAACTTTTTAACAAAAAATTAAAAACCGACTTCAAACAAAAGCACTAAAAAGTCAAAAATAACTGATTGGTAGATTTCATTTACTATATATACCTAATCAAATATTTTCGAAGTCGGTGTGTTTTGGCTAAGTAATTAAAGCCTACCTATTAAATACATACCTAATCAAATATTTTCGAAATAGGTGCCAGCCCATACAAAGCAAAGCACACCGACTTCGAAAATATTTGATTAGGTATATATAGTAAATGAAAACTACCAATCAGTTATTTTTTACTTTTTAGTGCTTTTGTTTGAAGTCGGTTTTTATTTTTTTGTTAAAAAGTGTTTATTATCAAAGACACAATATTACACTAGTTATTTCCTTTACACAGAAGAATATAATTTCAATGAGTATTTGTCGTAATATTATCCTTATATAGCATATATAACAATAGTTCATATTTCAAACGTTTTATATTTATTTTATCGTCTAATTATTTAAAGCAACTTTACAGCTCGCAGCTGTTTAACAAATAATGAATTTTATTACACATTATTTATGACCACTTGGCGTAATATTGCTAACAAGATTACGTCTTTCCTTATGATATTCAATCACGTCCTTTAAAGAAAATAATTTAAAATAAAAATGTAGTTTATTCCATTTTGGTCCATGTAATGCAATAATTCTTTAAAATTCAATTTAGCAAACAGGTTAAATTTAAAAATAAAATAATCGAACTTACCTGGAAAAATCTAACTATCTCAGCAGTAACTTGTAAGGATATAGGTATAAGATTATTGTATAATATCAAAAACGTTAAAAAGTTAAATCCGAAATGTGCATTCGGCGTTCCTGGAACAAAAAGAGCTTCAGTTAAGAAATATTTATTAACATCATAATGGCTTAATAGTAAATAGTCAAGAGACGAACACTTTTTTACGGAAGTTGACATTTGTAACCCAGCGCCATTTTAATTTTCCATTCATTATTTAATTTTTAAGCCCATTATTTAATTTTCATTCGAGCGACATTTATGGACCCATTTTTTCTTTCTACTAATTTTACTTAAACATTATTGTTTAATCTGACATAATTTTTTTGAAAAATATTTTGTTTGCTAGTGCATGAGGTCTCATATAGTTTATTTTTAGAATTTTATAACGTACTGTAAAAATTCAATTTTTATGACTATTTACGAACGTCACGAGTCCACCACAAGTTAGGAAAGAAAAGTCTTAGAGACCTGAGAAGAACTTACGAAAGATACTTAGCGGAAAAAACATTAAATTCTTTTTTTGTAAGTGAAATTATAAATTACAATCATTCTACAATATTGCATTCTAAAGGTGGTCACATCATTCTCCAACCGTGATGTTCCACTGAGTAATTAAGTGCAAGAGAGAGAGACAGAGATAGAGAGAGAGAGAAACACAAGATGCGTTACCGTTAAGGCCTATGTACCAGTCGCGCAGCTCGCCGTCGGCGCCGGTGCGCGCGCGCCGCCACAGCTCGGAGCACGCCGCGCTCAGCAGCGACAGCGCCAGCAGGATCAGGAACAGCATCAGGATGTGCGTGTTGGTCTGCCGGTCGATGGACGACCGCTTCAGCGGGGCTGGACAGGTACATCGAATTCGTTTACTGAATGTTTACATTATACTTTCTTAGATTTATTTAGATTTTTTAACGGATAACGTCGGGAATTAAAAATCAAAATAAATCCGCGAAATAATCCATAAATGATAGTTTTAATTAAATGTTAACACTAAGAAAATAATATTGTAAAGCGAAAAAAATACATTGGGAGATGACAAATGTGTAGACTGTGCCGTATGTGAGCTGCTACGTTCGGTACAATTTACATATTTTATGTTTTAGCTTATATATTAACAATGTCCTACTGACAAACTTCGGCTGCAGCCGCCAATCTCATTGAAACTAGCTATCTGCGCAAGAGATTTTAGTGCATAAGGGTACAGGCCATCACAACGAGAGTGCACGGTGTACACTATTTAAATTAATATTTTCATAATTTAATTTCACACATCCAATAAGATCAGGCGCCGGGGCGACACGACACGTGCTCTCCGAGGCATCAAAGTGTCACACCATCAACTTCGCAGTTCCGGGCGATTACTGAGAATTACTTGAAAGAAAAACTCCATAACTAAACTTGACTCGAACCCGTTCTGGGTTTGAGTCCCGTGTCTGTTAGTCAACCGAGACATCAAGTTATTAAACTAGATGTCTCGGTAATAATTATATTACAAGGTACCTTTAGTGGAGTTCTTCATGAGCTTGGTCTCGTGTCCGGTGTACACCACGAGGGTGTGCACCCACGCCGTGTTGCGCAGCATGGCGCCGCGCAGCAGCATCTGCTCCAGCCCCAGCGGGATCGTTCTGGAAATATTTATGGGAGATACAAATGCTATACTCCACTATTTGACGATACGTTTGGCTGAGTTTGTAGTGACCCTACTTGCTGTGCCAACGGTCGCGGTTTCGAGTCCCGCTGGGGGTATTCATTTATGTAATGAGCACGAATGTTTGTACTCCAGTCATGAGTGTTTATATTTATAATAATATGTATGTAGGAACTGGTAGTAGACTCATGACGTTCAGTAAAAAATTGTAATAATCTAATTGTGAATAAAATATTTTGAATTTGAATTAGTATTACCATAGAACTACATGGTGTTGTGTGATAATGTCCCAACATATTCATTCATTCATTCATTTATTTATTATTACTACTCATTATCTGCACAAACTACAAATCAGGGCTCGCAACCAATTTAAAAAAAAACGGTTTATTTCGGTAATGTATTGGTTAATCCATTGCTCGTTTTTTAACCGGTTAATGAAAACGAACGGTTTAGTAAACCGAAATATAAATGATTAACGTGTATTTTTAGAAAAAGGTTGCAATTCAGTTTTGATACTGAAAAAAAAACCGGTTAATTCATTCATAAATAACAAACGTATCCTTCTTCTAAGCAATTCACCATTAGCAAAGGTTCGCCGAAAAGCTCATGTTAACCGGTTTATTCCGATCATAGAACCTAAATTCGTGAAAAATCGTTGTTCGGGATTTAATCGGTTACAAAACGTAACCGAAATTTTAAACCGAAAACCGAGCCCTGCCACATTGTAGCCCCACTCACTTGGCGTTAGTCTCCCTCAGCATGCCATTGAACTCGTAGAGGTGTCGGTTGGGCGGCTCGCACTGCACGGTGGCGCGGAAGCCGGCCAGCGCCGCCGCCGCGCCGAGGCGCGCTGTCTCGGGGTTCGCCTGCCGGATCTTGAGGTTCGTCTCGCCGTCCAGGTTGGACGTCTCGATGAACGATATGCCTTGAGGTTCGCTGGCGACAAGTTTATTCATCTATTGCTTTATTTATTTTATATCATGCTTACATCATATTTTAGGATAACATTACTGTTGTAAATGAAACGCCTAGGAGCGCGTAGTGAGTAGTTAATATAATAATAATTATGAACGTAAATCTATCTTAACTAAATAGTAGCTTAGTAATTCTAAAGTTAAACCGATTTATAAAAAATGGACCAATTATAGATCTGAAATAGCAATAATAATACTTACTGATACTATTTTAAATAAATATCTAAAAATAATATGGTATAAATAAAATTATAAATTTTCGCTTGAGCGAAACCTGATATCTCCGAAACATTATCGATTGATCAAAAATTATGACATATATTAATGTTCATAATATACTTGTTACAAGATGGCACTAGTCTACAGCGCCTTAACCTTTCTAAGCCGTTTCAAACCGTTTTCCATGAAAATTGGTATTGTTGACAGTCCTTGCATTTTGACCTACCTACTGTATGGACTTTTATACTGTGGTAGCACTAACTTCACACTTTTCCCTTCCATCGTCTCTAACAGTTTACTATATTGTTGTTGTTTACACTTTTGCATGTTTCCTCACCTAGAAGCCAATAACACGAGATCAGCGGGAAAGAACTGGTTGTTAAGCACTTTGCATATGTCGCCCACTTGCAGCTTCTCCCACCGGATGCTCTGCCACCGCCCATTGCAGAGCACTTCCACTTTCCGTCTGTTCGTCTCGTCGTCTGCGCGGTGACGTTTCTATAAATAAATTATTAAAAATATAGGTATCATAAAGATAAATATAGTCGTAAGTCAGAGAGTAACATGGCGTACTTTTTATTCTGGCACAAGTTTAATTAATAACATTCTAAAAAAATACATACAGACGAACATAGAACTTCTCTTTTTTGGGAGTCGATTAAAAACAGTCTAAGACTTACTTATTATTATTAATTAATGCATCAGCGAAGCAAGGACTGTTTAATAATTAGTAAGTTTCCTTATAGTTTCAGTAAAAACTTAGGATTTCTTGACAAAATTTATTTTGTCAAGAAATCCTAAGTTTTAACGGATAGTTTAAGTTTTAACGGATAATGAGTGTAAAATAGTTTGCATAATAATAATCTATACATACCTCTCTATATTATAAAAAAATAAAAATATTTTTATTGACTTAAAGATTACATACCAAGCTAGTCGCAAGGGCCCCTGTACTAGGTGATTAAAACTGTTACTGATCGCTGTCTGTACGTGGAAGATATTTGAGAAAAACTTTTTTAATTTTTGTCTGTTTGTCTGTGCTTTTGTGCACGCTAATCTCAAAAACGGTGTAACCGATTTGGGTGCGGTTTTCACTAATGTATTGTGGTAAGATTCACTTAACATTTCCTTTTTTTGATCAATTGGTTCATAAATAAAAAAGTTATGTCAATTCAAAGAATCACCTACGAAGGACATACCCGAGTGAAGCAGAGTGACTCGCTTGTAAACAAATATTTATTCAACTTTTTTTTAAATAATTACCTAATGATAAAATTAACAGAAATGAACATCAAGGATAGATTTTTTCAATAAACAGTAGCATTAACAAGAATAAGTAACTTGTAGAATATAGGTCCATGTCACGTTGGCGTTAATTGTTAATTTAAATATTGTTTTAATAATTATTATTATTAACATAAGAATCTCGGCATTGAATCCAGGTATACGTCAAACCCAACCAAACCAACCCACCCAACCAAAAACCCATCTTTTACAATGTGTACTATTTATGTTCTTAGTTCGTACCATGTAAGGTATCACTTTCATTTAGAGTAGTAAATTTAAGAGATTGGTTTTTTTACGACCACCGTCATGGTACTCGCAGTTGAGAGGTGAGAGAGGTGGATATACTCACATTATTTTTGAGGCTATTTTCAAATTAAATAGAAACTATTACTTAACTGAACTCTTTCTCTTGTTGTGTTTAAATCTTATTTGTTATTTTATTGCCTATGAAATAACATCGTGCATGCTTTACACAATATTTTTCAAATATATAGTACTATGTAGTAGTTAAAATAACGTCATTAATGTATGGTGTCTATGTACAGGAAGGAAAAGAAAATTTAAAATTATTTTATTATACTGAATAGTTCTCAACACAAAGTTGAAAAAGTAACACATACTTTTAACTTAAGTAGGTACTTTTAGTAAATACTTGTAAAATATCGTCCATAAAATAATTATTTTTAATCCAATTTCATATATTGTAACAGAAAATGATCACGGACACTAAAATTGACAAGAAAATATATCTCAAAAACAGAAAGATTAAATGAAACTACACGTTAAATCTTAAAGACGTTGTAGACATCCGCGTTAGATTATCAGGAAATGAAAATAGCATCGAACTGTAAAGCGGAAGTAAAGTGCAACAGTTGGCAGAGTAGTTTGATAACTTATGTACCAATTGTTATATAATGAAACGGTTTTCAACTTAACTAAGTTCCGGTTTCAGGATTTATACTCGTACCAATAAAATGCAAGTCAAAAATTTTTTATTATTCAATAGCATTATAATGATATCTTAATTGAATTTCATTACGAAGGCTATTCTTTTTTATTCTTTCTCATGGCTTATTCCCTCACTTGGAAACCGAAGAGGGAGTAAGGAACAGAACTGACTCTCTAGCTCTACGAGGCACAGCCACCTTAATTATTATTTATTAAATTTCACATTTTAATAAAATATTTGTATTATCAAACAAAATTTATTTAGTAACCTTGTTTAAATAGCTTGAAATCTATACAATATGGTTACTAATCTGATAAAATATTATGATTTCAAAACGTGCACTGTTCTCTTATTTGTTGACTAACAAAGATGGTATCTTTATCTAATGGTGTCTCTTAAAAATCCAAAATAAAATCTTCCGCCGATTTATTCCATAACATTAACATTATATTAATCAAACTAAATTTTACATGAAAAGTAGAATTTTATGTTATGGAAATTGAAAATATAACAATTAGCAATTTTTAATAAATATATATACTTACAAAATCTTCTACAATTTCTTTGATTGCGCTGACACTGAGTATGAGTATGAGAGGCGTGAGAGTGGTCCAGCGTCCGGTGGGAGACACGTCTGGTATCTGTTGCAATAGCGCGATTAATAGGAAAAAGCAGTTGGAGTACCGTCGGAACTGCTCGAACAGGAATAAAGGGACGAACGATGGCACACTGTGGACAAATACAATAAATCGCTTAAAACTATAATATATACGAATCATAGGAAGAGCATTATATAGATTTATATGCGACTAGCGGCTGACCCTCGCTTCGCTCGGGTTCGCCTCTAAAAAGTATAAACAGTTCTATACCACGGGAACCTTTCAATTTTCCGGGATGAAAAGTATCAAAGATGTTGACCGGGGATATAAGGTACCACCATGCAAAGTTTCATTTAAATCGGTCCAATAGATTCGGAGATTAGTCCGTATAACCAGACAAACAGACAGAGAAATAAAAAAATTGAAAAAAATCTGGATTTGTTCTATTTGTCTTCTTACACCCCCCTGACTCGGTTTTTAGCATTTTTTTTCTATGTACAGACATTCAACCTCTACAGTTTTATTATAGTATAGATATGAAGGCAGCGGTAGCAAAGCGGTAACCGCTTGCTTTAAAAACCAAGTTAATCGGGTTTAAATCCCGGGTCTCGCATTACTAATATTCTTATGTGCAAATAATCAATCATCGTCAGGAAACCCGGATGTCTAGAGAAAACAAGTTTTCGAAAAACATGTGAAGTCCGCCAACCCGCACTTGGCCAGCGTGGTGGACTATGGCCTGATTCCCCTCGTATGGAAGGGAATCAAAAAGTGCTGAATACATAAGAATACCTATGGTATATGATATATTTTTTTATATTTTTCAGGCGGACGTGGTTATGGCACGTTGTAGTATCTATTTAAAAAATTTGCTCTTCATAACTAGTTCGAATGTAAAAGCATTTAGGTCGATCTGGAATTGGCTCGCACACAAAAAAGTTTTCATTTCAAAGGAACAACGAATCAAAGTGCAAATACGTAGCATTTGCATTCAAACTTTGATTTTAAATAGCCACGACTGGCATAACTCAGATTACAAACATATGAGAAAGATGCTATAATGAAGAACAAATATTCCTAGTATTTTCTCTAATTAATATAAAACTTTGGGTAAGTTGAGCAGGTTTTTAAAAAGCCTTTAGATGTAAAGAGCAATAGATTCGATTCCAAGATGTGGCTCATGTACATACATATGCCTATGTTACAGACAATGTTATGAATTAGTAATTATGTATATATATTTATATTATATATACTGTATATAATGGCTAGACTATGTATCCCTGTTAAGATACCGTGATGTGATAAATGAAGTAATTTAGTTGTATATAACCTAACTTATAATAGCTCCTAGAAGTTGGCGAAAGCAATAAAAATTGTATTAGAATTTAGGGTCAATTCGTTGTCTGCAAAGATTTATTGGTTTTTTTCTTTGTTGGTGAAAAAACAAAAAAATTACCCTACCGAGCGCAGAAACGGGCACGGACAAGTGTTCAATAAAATATATTTTAGCGACGTAAGAGCAATGTTTATAATCCTCACTCGTCCTACACACATACATATGGGGCATGTAAACAAACGCACGCCCCGGGCGCTGCCTCCGCCTGTAATGACATCAGATGGCGAGGTGCCAGCCCGAATATCTGTCGTGCGTAAACAATGCGATAGCTTTACTGGAAATGATGGAGCTTTAAACGCAAGGTTAAATGGAACTATTTTTATTTGGCAAGAATTTGAACACCGACTAAAAACTCTTTTGGTAGTAACACCTGTGGATGGTTTAGACATGCAAGCTTGCCTGTTAACTCGTTTTGATTAAGTCATATTTTATTATACCAATGGCATACTTATAATATTATTATAACCCTACTAGTAGCTAACCCTTGCTCGGGTTCGTCTCTAGAAAAATACGCACAAATCTATCTCACAGGAACCGTACATTTTTCTGGAAAAATTAATAATTTTCCGGGAAGTTATTCTGATTTATGAGCTATATTCTTGTAAAGTTTCATTAAAATCCATTCAGTAGTTTTTAGTATGAAAGAGTGACAAACATCCATACATCTATACATTCAGACATACACCTCACAAACTTTCGCATTTATAATATTAGTAATCCTATTACTTAGGTTAAAATAAATCAAAACATGTTTTATTCAGATAGACATTCCAAACGATTTTAATAAATCTTTAATGAAACATTCTATTACATTTAAATTAAATGTCAGTACATATTACTCGGAAATTCGGCAGTTCTGCTGAAAAGAAGCGTCGAGAAACTCAAGTTTTGCTGTTATGAAAATAATATTTGTTTACAATCCTAAATGATTTAGAATTAGAAATCTAATTATTAAATTTAATTAAATATAAAATTTCCATAACAACGTTAATGACGCTAAGCACATTGTCTGTTCTTATTTGTATTCCTCTAATGTCCAGCTATTATAGTCGGCGCCAGGGCCATGTGATGTCATGTGGGGTGGGCTCGAGTCTGTCACGCTCGATTAATACTACTTGAATTAAAACATGAGGTGAAGGTCATTTGATAACGATGGACTTTACAGAGGATGTAATTAGGACCCAACTAATTTATTCAGAGTTCTATTGAACTTATTCTTATGAACTACTATTGTAAATGCGAAAGTGTTTTTATTGGTTTGTCAATTTGTTCCTTTGTCGTTCTTTCACGTAGCAATATAGGCGCGAATTGGTGTAATTTTTGCGAGTAGAGAGACGAGTTATATTTACCTACAAGCCCACATCACGAGTTCTAAAAAGTTACCAAGATGCAACATAACAAGCACTAAACATTCTTAGACATAATCGTCTGGCCTGGCTATGATATAAACCAAATTAAAGAAAAAAGTATTTTGTAATGGAAATTATATTTAAAATAAGTTTTTTTCCAGCAGGCCAGCTATATACAGTATAACTTCAACAGTTATAGAACCTACCTATATTTGGCGGTGGATATTCGGTTGCTGACGAACTTCTGCGGCTGCGGCCGGTTGACGAAGATGACGCGGCTCTGTTCGTCGCCCGCACCATCTGTTATACCGGAGGTTGTCGCTTCATCCTCGTCTGTGGGAGAAATAGAAATATCAATATAAATTTGCATGGCAACAATCATCGTCGATGGTATCAGTGGTACTGTGCCTGACTGGCACTGACTTGAGCACTGGTACGCTCGCAGCGATCTATGTAGATGTTTAATTCATAATTTACCTAGTGACTATTCATTTCAATATTTACAAAATATAAAACAATATCTCACTGTCTTGTCATTTTGCCCTATCAAAAACCATCAATCCTATTTGTTGTATTTTTAGTTTGGGTATATGTAATTTTGCAAAATGCATAAAGTAAGATATTAGTAGCAATAACAGTAAGTAACAAGTTTAGTTTACGTCCAATTAAAACGAGACTACATAAACAATCTATGTAGGATAAGATCTAGGATAAAATAAAGCCTAAGTATATAGTTTCAAAGATTAACTGTTGCCATAAACTGAGTAATGGCCTCAGTTCCGCTCCGATTGCTTTCTCAAGTAAATGAAAAATCTCGCCTGCAATTAGTCTTTATAAATAAGCGCCCGGGGTTCTTTTCAACTCAGATTATAATTAATATTATAAATGCAAAAACGTATAATATTAATAGAAGTGGAGATGTAGTAGTAAATGAGTTGGTAATAAATTATTATGACTTTTTCATGGCTTGCATATTGAATATGGACATTACGTTGCAGACATAACGTAAATGAATATAATATCAATAAGACTTTTTTATTTTGGTTGGCTAACACGTTCTAAGCAACCAAATCTACCCAGATTTGGTTGCTTAGAACGTGCTAGTTTGTCAATGTCGAATAATTATAAAGTAGGCAGCACAAAGAGGAAAAAAAGAGAAAATTCACAAGTACTGTTAGGTACATTATTTAGAACTAAAAAAAAATGTTATTATATAAAATATCACACAGACAGATCACAGATCGATAGATCTTATAGTGTTTTGCTAAGAGTATAAGAGAACCCAATCATTATCTATACATATAATAAAATTGTAACTAAGCCGAATCTGTACATTAAATATTTTTTGGAAAATCTTATTGAAATAAACATTATTAGCGATACAGAGGCCGAATCTATAGTTTTTAGAATTTTTGTCTGTCTGTCTGTCTGTCTGTTACCGCATCACTGAAAAACCACTGGAGGGATTTTGATGAAATTTGGTATGGTAATAGCTAGTTTGATCAATATTCTTAAAGACTTAATATAATTCAACCCCTTTATAGTCCTACTGCTGGGCACAGGCCTCTCTTCAGGACATAAATATGCTGGAATCGGGCTATAATGCAGGGTATAGTGGGAGTTGACTGGTGACACGAGATATTTAAATAAGTATTAGAAATATCCCACAGGATAATGAGCGGACTTTTATATGATCCTGAAAAATATAATTGGTAGAGAATACTGCATTAATTTCGATAATACGACACGATTAATAAAAATAAAAAAACGACTTTAAATGTTCTATAGGCATTAGGCAAATCATAAATCAAACCAGACTAGCGAATCACCCTCGCTCCGCTCGGGTTCGTCCCTAGTTACGTTTTAACATTTACCTCAGACATGAGACGTTTTCCGCAGTAAAAAGTACCCTATATGTTGACCCGGATAACCAGCAGCTATCATCATACCAAATTTCATCAAAATCTGTCCAGTGATTTTTTCGTGATGCGGTTACAGACAGACAAAAATTCTAAAAACTATAGATTCAGCCTCTGTATCGATAATAATGTCTATTTCAATAAGATTTTACAAAAAATATTTAATGTACAGATTCGGTTTAGTTAGAATTTTATTATATGTCTAGAATAATAAAGATTAAATATGGGTAATCTCTTACACAGAAAGAAAAAATATTTGTTTTGAACATAACGACCACAAAAGTGATAAGATAAAAATTGATTTAAAAAAAATTAAAAATATATCTAGTAGATACAAAGTTAGTCTGCAACTATACGAGAATACAAAGCATGTATAGCTAGCCATAAATTATATATTACGAATATTTGTACATAATCTGAGTATTGAGTAAACTATATTTTAAAACTACTGTAACTACTTACACTTTCTAAAGTAAATTTTTAAATAAAATAACTTTCTAAAAGTTGTCTTACAAGTGTGTTGTAACGAGTCGGCCGATAAATGTACTGTTATTTTGAAGGAAGCGCAAAAAAAAGGTATTTCATATTTCAAATATACTTATACATAATCTAAATCAGGGTTTCCCAACCTTTCTTCTGTTCGTTTAGTCTTTTTATTATAATAAAACACATTATTTTAATGATTTTTATTTATTTTAATTTCAAGTTATACAAAATAAACTCTCTCTACGACCCCTTGGTTGGGAACTTCTGATCTAAATGAATACAAACGAGCCCAAAACCTTAACATCGGTTCGCGTTAGACAAAAATATATAAAGAAGGCTTTATCTCATTAAGGTACTTTTCCGAGAGTTATTTAAAATTAACCACAAGTTAAGTTTGTTTTGTAGTCTTTTTAGGTCTCGTAGCGTCTGCGACAAAAATATAATGAAACTAGGTAAAGCACCTAATTCAGAACAAATAAGAGAAAGCGAACGTCATATAAAGAGGTCAAGATCTCGAGATGCTGTAGAAAGAGAACATTGAAATACCGCTTTAATATACGTTTATGTGAGTTTCAAGTACATGACGTTTAATTCCAACATGCCCTATATAGTTTTAACAAAATGATTAGTGCCCGATTTCACCAACAACCCATAAGCTACCACCTACGTATGGGATCCCTAGCTTAAAAGTCCCCTAAACGAGCCCCTAAATGAAATTTCGTTTTACGATCGTCTTTAAGCCCATATTTCGAGCACCTAAATTTAGGGGGGCTTTTAATATTTAGGTGACCCTAACTGTCGGTGAAACAGAAACTGTCCCCTAACAGCTCCCTAACCATACTTAGGGGATCCCTTAAACTTAGGTGACGTTGGTGAAATCGGGCATAAATCTCAAAGAATGGAGACGGCAATGAAAAATTACGACGTCAGTTTTACACAAAGCAGTTGTCACGTTTAAAAATAAGAAATGATGCAAACTTATTCCGGACGGCTTATTACTAATTGTAAGATATCTATCATAATTTACAATTTTTTTTTAGTAGTTGCTTGTATATATTAATATTATTTATGTTTATACAATGTTTTACCTTTAATTAAAAAATCAACTAATGACCAATTCTAAACATTTTATTAAAAAATATACGTCAACAGATAACATTCGTATTCTCTACGAATATAAAACAAAACATTCCAAGTGCAATGTGGGCGCTAATCTTTTTGCTTTATTTAACTGAAGATTGAATAAATATCGAGTAGTCGAATTGCCTTAAAATTAAAGGAGCTGAGTATTGACGATATGTAATGTAGAATATGCATTGGTTCATATTTAGACGAAGCAGAAATTTTTTTCGCATAGCGTCTCAAAACTACGAAGCTAGGTTTAGTTTGAAAACAACAAAAATGTTAGTTGGTTTTAACATTTGTCGCATGTTTCAAGGTAATTATAGTAATATTTTATATCTAAGGCCAACATTTTTTTGATTAAACGTAAAAAAAAATCTGCCAATAAAACCACGCGTAGCTTACTTGTGTAAATAACAGCTTCAAAATGGTATTACGATGGTCATTCATTATTGGGAAAGCAATAAACATGTTAGCGTCGAGTATTAAAATGCTTCTCAATAATCAAGCTAGAGCTAGCATTTTTATGATATCGATCTACCCTGACTCGCGTAGGGGTGAAGTGGCGTACAAATAATACGCATATGTATAGTGTAATGGCCAAAATGCTAAGTACATAGTTGTTAATCATCCAGTAACACTCGTGCATCATTTATAGCATGTTGAGAGCAATTATGTCAGAAACCTTCACGAACCTTGGTCATCAACACGGCAATAGTCAAAATTACTATTCGTGTTAGGATATTTAGGGACTTAGAACATCAGCCGTATGGCCATACCCTTGAATAGTTCGCTTTTAATCGACCGTCGCCCTTGGCAGAGTGCACGTAAATGCGTTTAAATACATTTGCGCTGCGACCTCGAACTAATCCGGTTACAGAATAGAGTTAGATATAGAAGCAGCCATAATATTAACGAAGATGACACAGTAATAGCATGAGTGACAACTAATCAATGTACTTAACATACCCATAAACCAGAATGTATTAAAACATGTCAAATATTCGCGTGCAATTTCGTTGAAAGGTGCGTCATAAGTTCTGTTTTCCATCGTAAAACCAGTTAAAATATCTGGTGGCGTAGCAGTATAAAGAAAACAAACAGATAGATGCTATAATATTTAAATATATGATGTTTTAAATATATAATATTAAGTAATAGAACTATGATGAAATATATAACTAGCAAAAGTTCATTAAAACGTAAGCCACCGTAATCATAAACCAACCCGAGCTCAACTGTACATTTGTTACATTATACGGTACAATGCATTGGACTTAATAACATCCATCTAATTTGGTCAAGTGCCACGTGTCCATACATAAAGGATACAACAAACAAGTGCGTACAAAAATGACGTTCTTTACAATTGCGTACAGACATTAGGGATTGAACATTAAATAAATCAGTCTAGCGATTGCAACTAGTATATCTGTAATTAGCGACTCACCCTTGCTTCGCTCGGTTTCATCCCTAGCTTGATTCTCCATACAAACTTGCATCCCCGTTTTCACCCCCTTAAGAGATGATTTCCGGGATAAAAGGTATCCTATGTCCCTCCCAGGGTATCATACTATTTTCTTACCAAATTTCATCTAAATCGGTTTAGTAGATCCAGAGATTACCCCCTACAACATCACAAACTCACAATATCACAAACTTTACCACTTTGTAATATTAGTATAGACTAAAAACTGAAGTGTCCTTAGACGAGTCGCCTTTCTACAAACACTCCATTCTCCTAATTTTTTAACGATCTTCGACTATATCGGGGTCGGGGCTACATAGGGAAAATAAACCATCACT